GAAGACAGCTCTGCGAAGAAGCGCCTCAACCCCTCACCAGACTACTGCCAAGCTCAAGAACCTCGCTTGGGGATCTACCACGGCCAGCAGGCAGTTGGCCAAGATTCTTTTTGGCTAGCAGCCATGTTAGTATGCTGTCGATGAAACTGCGCTCGAAAGGCTCCGACTCACCTCTGGACTACTGCTTCTATACTTCACTTCCCAATTCGGAAATAAGCACGTGACTCTACCAGACTTTTCCAAGTTTTCAAACTCCTTCAAGTCAACTTAAAAGACGGACGAACACCCCGTTACAACAGCAGATGAGTAGGGATTACGGAGTAGTTCAAAGGCAGACGATCCCCCTTCACGAGAATTCTTGCTGTCAGGCTGATTATGCCATTTGCGACCATCTTGACGCAAAACAAAATCCCTGTCTTGACGTTACATTCGAGGGGGTTTAGCGGCGATTGCGTGATCGATAAAAATTACGTACTGAGATGGCTCAAAAGGGTCTGAATCTCTTCATCTTCGATCGATCCAGAAGGACCATCCGCACATGGCTGTGGGCTGAAGAAGAGCAGGAGGATTGACGATTGGTTCGACCAGACCGAATTGCAGACCATGGCTCCACGGTCGACGCCACGCTTTGGCTGAAAAGCTTCATTATTTGTCTTGGCAGTAGGGTATTAGGAATATACACCGAGTTGGTAGCGCGATCTGGAGATAGACATAACTGTTTTGTATAACAATGCTCATTTACAGTATTGTCTATGCTATCACTATATACAAAGAACGCTTTTATTACTCCGCTAGAGAAAAGTGCAATAAGAGAAAAAGGGAGAATGTATCCGTAAATCGTCGATACGGGACCGCTAACCAAGCAAGCCAGTGGCGAGCGATTCCAGATCCTCCAGGGTTTGAACTTGAGGAGGAGCGTTGGCTGCTTTGTCGCTGGGCTTCTTGCTCTTCTTGTACCAAGGCTCTGCTTCCTCTCTGTCGTTCGCCTCGGTGAACTTGACCTTTGGCTTCTTGCTGGGACGTGGTGCTTCGTCCTCGGAGGCGGAGAATCCTCCATCGACGTCTTGGTCCCCTTCGTACGGAGGCAGTTGCACCAGTGTCTCTTCTTCCTCCGCTTCGGCAAGCAGCTCGCGCTCGCGGGCCTTGCGTTTCTCCTTCTTCTCGCGCCGCTTCTGTTTGGCGATCTCCTTGTCCTCCATGTCTGCCATACGTGTGCGCTCCACCTCCTCCGCCAAGAACTTGGCCTGTTGATCCTTGGCGTCGCCCCGGGCCTTGAATTGCTCTTCGTCTTCCAACTCGTACAACTCGTGCGGGTTTCCTTCGTCGTCGTAGACCAGTTTGGTTCCCTTGCCCTTGAATTTGAGTAACTTCTTCTTCGACTTGAGGAGCTTCTCGCGACGCTTGGAATCAATGACCAGAGGTGTACTGCCGTCAATGTGTACCACCTTGACGTCCTTCTTGTCACCCTTCTCACTCTCATCGTCCTCATCGCTTGACGATCCCAGGTCCTTATCACCAGCGTCGAAACGGCGTTTGACGGACAGGAAGTCATCATCTTCGTCCGCATCAGCCCCAGCACCGGCATTGGGTGCAACCATTGTGCCGTCGTCATTGATGAGTTTCGAGTAATGCTCCGCCAGCACGTCTTGGTTCCGCCGCTCAAACATCCGGTCATATTTGGTCCGTACCTGTGGTTCCTCCTTCTTCTTGCTCTTCTTCTCGCCGTCCTCCTCGTCCGAGTCATCGTCGTCACTCAACAGGTGCGCTGCGGCTCGAGGTGCGTTCTTCCGTTGCTTCGTATCGTCTCCCTTGATGAATTTGATCCGGGGTGCACCAGGTAGACCTAAGCTAGCCGCGAACTCATCCAGCTTCAGTTCCTTGAGTTTGAAAATCTCCTTGTCTTTTTGAATATAGACAGATTTGACATAAGAAATGAACGCCTTCTGCCCGAGATACTTGAGCTCAGGATCCTTGAAGCACATGTTCTGTAGCTGATCCTTGATACTCTGTTGTTTGTTCGCCTTAATGTTGATCTTCTCGATGGGTACTTTCTTCTGCTCCAGACGCTTCAGCATGCCTTCCTCCTCACTGGGATCCAAGAACAAAACCGCCCGACCTTCCCGCTCGTACCGCGCTGTACGCCCCACTCTGTGGATATAAGTGTCCGCATCTTCCGGACAGTCAAGCTGGATGACCCAGTCGACCGCTGGGAAGTCCAGACCACGAGCAGCAACATCGGTAGAGAAGAGAACGCAATGCTTCGATTGAGAGAATCTAGTCACAATGTCCAATCGTCCACCCTGCTTCTGACGGCCGTGAAGATGCATCAACGGGATACCAGGCTGTAGATGTCGGAAGGATTCGTATACAAATCGTACTTGTTTCCCCGACGACAAAAATACCATGGTCTTTGACTTGAGATTGCTTCGGATAAAGCTCCACAGGATATCAAGCTTCTGCGGAAGCGGCGTAATCACGTAATGTTGCTGAAGTTTAGATGGCGTTGCTGAAGACGCCGTCTCGTGGACAGCCACGTACTCGGGATCCTGGAGACTCAACCGGGCAAGGTCCGAAACCTTCTTCGTCTGAGTTGCACTGAATAGCAACGTCTGACGCTCTTTAGGAAGGTGGCCGATAATGGCATCCACCGTCTGCTGGAAGCCCAAATCCAGGATACGGTCTGCTTCGTCGAGGACCAGCATCTGGAGATTATATGTGTCGAACAGTGCTGTCTGATCCAGATGTTGTAGCATACGTCCAGGCGTACACACCAGAATATTCATCCGTCCCAGTCTCTCCTGCTCCTCCTTCAAACTCTTCCCACCAATGACCAGACCGGCCGAAAATGTATGATAGCGACCGATTTTCCGGAGAACTTCGAAAATCTGAATGGCGAGCTCGCGAGTTGGAGATAAAATCAAAGCGCCCAACCCATCATGCTCAGCCCATTGCTTACGGTAGAGATTTTCGAGCACGGGGACGAGAAAAGCCAGCGTCTTGCCGCTACCCGTCTTTGCGGCTCCCAGAACATCTCGACCCTTGAGCGCGTGGCTTATCGCACGGGATTGGATATCAGTCAATGTTTTGTAGTGCGAAGACGCAAGTCCTGAAGCAGTCGGTTCGGATAGAGGCAGATCGGAGAAAGATTTGAAGGTCTCTTTGAGGTCAAGATCTTCCACCCGCTGGATGAGGGACGACAGTTCATCCTGCCCACGCTTGCGTTTCAACGTTTTCGATCTTGGTGGCTTTGCATGTTTACCAGTGCGAGGACCAGCGGCAGGAGCCATGATAGTCCGCGTGAGCCTGTATCAAGGGTATTATCCTCACTGATACAGATGGTAGTGATCTTTGGTCGGCCATGAAGCAATCCGCGGTCGGGCGGTGAAGCAACTTTTTTTTTTCCTCCGCTGCTGAGTCAGCCATAGATAAGATTGGCAGCTTATCACAGGCGCTCAGACTACAGGGACTGTTCCTGATCATACAACAAAGACAGAGTAATTGAAGCTTCTGGCATTTGTAAGGTTGAATTTACAATGTCATCCGACGAGCAAGATGCTTTGGACGCACTGGAGAAGGAGGCGTCGGATTTCATCAAGGTATGTGGGAGCTGTCCTAGCTGCAATTGGCGTCAGACTGACACATGCTGCGATGTAGGATGCGGAAATCGATCGCATTCGAAAGGCTTTTCAATTAGATGCGTGAGTATTCTTCTTTACTCTGTTGTTTCTTGACATCTTCTATGCGTTTTACGGTCTGCCGGCTGACAATTTCGCTATAAGATATGCTGTCCTTGACCTTCAGCCAGGTGTCCCCGAATCCGACATCAAATTACAGTATCGCAAAAAGTCCCTTCTCATTCACCCTGACAAGACAAAAAACCCTGCTGCCCCAGATGCCTTTGACCGGCTCAAGAAGGCTCAGACGACATTATTGGATGAGAAGGCCCGCGCGTATCTGGATGAATGTATCGCTGATGCGCGACGGCTCTTGATCCGGGAACATAAGTACACAGTAGACTCCCCCGAATTACAGACCGAAGAATTCAAAAAAGAATGGCGTCAGAAGACCGTTCAGGTGTTGCTAGAAGAGGAAGCGCGCAGACGAAGACAGCTTAAGGCCAAGCTGCAGGAGGAAGGACGAGAGAAGCGCAAAGAGGAGGAAGAGTTGGAGGCACGGAAACGAAAGCGAGAGCAGGAGCAAGCTTGGGAAAATACGCGAGATGAGCGGATTGGAAGCTGGCGAGAATTCCAAAAGGGGCAGAAGAAGGGGACCGATGGTGACAAGAAGAAGAAGAAAAAGATGAAAGTTCTAGGCTAATGATGTCGCATACAATGTCCGAATCGTTCGACTGTGGTCAATTGGCGTTTGGGATGCCTCTATTCTAGTTGTTCTCTCATTTTCTTAATCTTTCAAGACATCTGATTGTGTAACTTAGCGGTTCTTACTCAAGATTCAAGATCTAACCTCATGACCGTTGCAGCCTCCTGAAAGTTCTCTGCAAAATATGGGCCATTCCACACGGTCCATACCCGCCAATCCGCCGGATGCGATTCACGATGTCAAGAGTTAGAACACCATAATCTATACCACTAGTTGATCTTAGTCGAGCAACTGTCTTGAATCGGCCCGCAGTCGGTGATGGCGACGCGGGGCGCGGGGTTGGACTTCTCCGAGGTGATTTCGGAAACCAGAAGATTCTCCAGCCTGTCTCCACCATCGGGAATGCCTTCGTGATCCGCTGTCATTCATCTGCCCTTTCGTATCAAGAATCTCTCATGAGGTACCTTAGTACATGGAAACTTCGTTATTCTCTGCAATTTGCCCTCGACAAACTATATGATCCTATCTCTCATCCGTGACACCACTGGCTTTGCCGATAAGTCAGTGATACAGCGACATCACATTCCGCCCCCGCTACAACGTCCACCAAAGCTGCATACCTTATAAGTACGCGGAGTATATTTCCCACGTCAAAACAGCCACAGAATCCAGCAATTGGGATGCAAGACATGAGAGAATCTGCGTCCGAGCCATCTAGAGCGCTCTCAACTTCAAATGGCGCCGCAGTGAACAGCCAACAGCCTCCACCACACTATCCCAACCCCCCTGCCACGACAACAAAAGAAACGGATAACATCCCTTCGTTCCCCTCTTCGACAACCACCGCAACAACAGTCGAATCCTCCCCCTCACTCTCCGCCGTCGTCGCCGACGTCCACCAGCGCGTCCAGTCCTTCCTCCAAGAATCACACCCCCCAGATTCCCTTCTCGCCGCCGTCCAACGACAGACCCGCATCTCACTGGACGTCATCGCAACAGCCCTATCCCGCTACAAGCTCTCCGAACTCTCCCTCTCCTACAACGGCGGCAAAGACTGTCTCGTCCTGCTCATCCTCTTCCTCGCCAGTCTCCACCCGCATCCAACCCCCGAGGAAGGCGGCCTCGCCTATATCCCCGCCATCTACGCCCTCCCTCCCGATTCTTTCCCTGCAGTCGAGGAGTTCGTCCAGTGGTCCTCGCGCGCCTACCACCTCGCAATCGTGAGATTCACCACCGAGCCGCCCCGCACCACCCTCAAGTCAAGCTTCGAGCACTACCTCTCCCTCAACCCGTCCATCAAAGCCATCTTCGTCGGGACCCGGCGCACTGACCCGCACGGGGCCAATCTGACCCATTTCGATCCTACCGATAGCGGATGGCCTGATTTTATGCGCATTCACCCTGTCATTGACTGGCACTACGCGGAGATCTGGGCTTTCATTCGTCACTTGGGTCTTAAGTATTGCTCCCTCTATGATCGAGGTTACACTAGCCTAGGAGGCACTTCAGATACCCACCCGAATCCCAAGTTGCGTGTGGAACACAGCGCCGATTCAGGTCAAGGCGCTGCAGACGGTACACAATCTCAGCACTACCGACCAGCCTACGAGTTGACCGAGGACCAGGAGGAGAGGCTGGGACGCAGCAAATAGCGGCAATTCGACGCCATTCCGGCGCCGTCGTGTATAGCGAGACCTCAACAGCCCTTTCTCTATTTCGCAATCTTCAGTCTCTAACCCCTTCTTACCACTCCCTTCCCCCCAAACCCCGGACGTTGAGCGGTTGCCCTTTTGATTTATGTTCGTCGCAGAGCTATAGACTGTGCATACAACCTTGCATGATTTTCGAAGATGTTCCAATGCCACGGAACTTGATTAGAGCCGTTATCATTTTTAGACTAGGTCCTGGTCTGTTGAACGAGACAAAAAGCGAGCCTACGCTTTTGGACAAATGAAGAATTCAGGAATCCACTTTATATCTTTAGGACTTTTCACTGCTTGATTCGGTAAAATATGCAGCTCTATATAACACATTTTGTTGATCATACATCAAGCTGCAGCATGGAGAAATTAAGGAAAGATAACACTTGCAACGCTCAAATATTAACCTGCAATGACTGGAAAAACCAAAGGCACAAAGAGGAATGAGGAGAATCAAGAGCAAGGGAGGTGAAATGGGAGAGGGTTCTGCAGTATCCGAGCTATTGCAGTGATCATACAATCGATAGGATAATACCTCTTGAAATAAAATAATCCGAAAGATAGGACGTCATGATGCTCGTAATGACTGCCATGGTTGACGACGAGGGCGTTTTGGTGCCTATGAGCAGTGAGGATACGGATATTCCATAGCAATGTGATGGGTAAGACAAAGCTTGAATAGTCAACTCAGAGAGCAGACCTTGGAGACGTCATGAGGGCATCCTTGCAGGGGGAGATGGGAGACAGAGAATCAACGTCCATGTTCTCCTTCTGGGGACTGGAGCCTTGGGACCGAGCCTTGACGCATGGAGTGCTGGGCATAACTGTCTTGGAGGAACTGGCAGAAGCATTGTTTGGAACAGCATGGCGGTCATAGAGACGTCCATGATATATCGGGGTGGTCTCCCAGGTTGCTGGACTGTTCCTGGTTGACCATGAGCTGAAAGGCATGTTGCTAGCCGGATTTTTCATCAACTGGTACCTGCTTATATCGTTAGACCGCTCATGGCATCTGTACCAGACAATCCTTCATACATACGACGGGGAGATGGACGTCGCAGGAGTCCAAGTGGAACCTACTCCGACCGGCGATGGATAGCTGACCTGGGAGTTAGGGCTGAGATGATTCGCGGTCTGCTGGAGACGGTGCAGAGAAGGCGATGGAGTAGAGCCCTGCACCACTTCAACGGAGTAGTTGTACTCTCCAGCACGGTATGCACGGCGCTCGTTGCTTTGCTGTTTCAACATCTTTTGTGCCTTCGTGTCTGCGAACCGGAGGAGCAATTTCACCCCATTTTTGGCGATGTTGTGGAATTCACCCAACACTTTCTCGGCGATTTCACGTGTCTCGAAACTTTTAAAATGAAGTCAGATTGTGTCGCAGCGGGAGATAACCTAGCGAGTGAACACTTACCGAGCGAAACCGACCTCCTTGCTGACGCCAGTTTTCTCGTCACGGCTGATCTTTTCGGAGACAACACGGTACGGCTCGAAATGATGTCGAAGGTCCTGCACATATATTAGAAGGTCGTTTCGGATGAGGCTACCATACTTACAGCCTCAGTCCAAGTGATCGGAACGTTAGTGCAATAGATGTTGGTGGACGTCTTGTCCTCAAGATCCTTCAGGCGCGAATTGCGAGATTTCTGAACCATGTTAGCGTTTGCGAATCTCTGAATGGCATCGATTCACAGTACTTGTGCAAAACTTGCTTGATATCCAAGATAAAAAAAGCCCCGGATGCAGTTCTCGCATGACTCGAAGTTGTAAAACTGGACAAAACCGAATCTGTAAGCGAAGTTAGCGTGACAGGCCAACATAGTAAAAGCTGCTTTGACATACCCTTTGCAAAGCCCCGTGTCCAGATCCACAATCGCCTTGCAACGATCAATCTTCCCAAAGCGGGCAGCATAGGAATGCAGCATTTCGTCCGTGGTCTGTGGCAAGAATCCTCTGATGTAGACGTTGGTAATACCTTCACGGTTCTCGAGGCATTTCGCGAGCGTCACCTCCGAAGGGTTAGTCCACATGGCGGGAACGGCCCTTGGGATTGGAGGTTCCTGTTGAGTGATACTCTCCAGGTCCTGGAGCATGTAGCCATTGGGCGTCTTCATCACCTGGTAAGGGAGACATGGTTGTGGAGGGCCGTTGTAGTTCAATAGTGGAATAGAGGAACTATCCATGGTGGAGACAGCAGGTCCAGGATAGAACTCACACTGGTTGCCAGGAGTTTCAGAGGTGGATTGGCCAGTTACCTTCTGGTTCTCGCTAGCGATCCAACCGTTCCGCTTCTGGCCAGCCAGATTCTGCAGGTTGTTGTCTGCCACGAAAGGAAATGGATATCCCTGCATTGTTGCTGGCCCCATAGGAAAGTTGGGACTGGCACTTGGATACATGGCTGGGAGATACGGAAGGTGGCCCAGCTGGTTTGGTCCAAGGACAGAAGCGGGATTGAAAGACGAAATAGGAGGAATGCCGTTCAGCATTGGCCCGCTGGGGAAGAGGACAAACTGGCCATTGTAGGGTCCACGATTGGCCCCGGACAGGTCCAAGTTTGAGGGCATCGTGAATGGCATGTTGCCCTTGAGGGTGCTGTACTTGGAGCCGGAACGCTGGTTCTGAAAGTTCAGACCTGCTTGAAGAGGAGCAGAACTGTCATGATAACCCTCCGGCTGGCTGGGAAGACCGTTCTGCTGGTAGCCAGCAGCAAAGGGGGCACGAGAATCTTGAGCAGATTGGCCAGACTGGGTCTGATGAGCTTGACCAGAATCGGACGAAGCAGCATGCTGTTGACTTTGGGACTGCATGATGGCTGATTCTATAAAGGATCTTCAAGGTGAGTTAGCAATGCAAAAATCTTCACCTTTCAAGCGTCACCATTCGAGCAAGGGTATTCAAATGCTCTGATGATACCTGCGACCTGAAGAATGGATGACTATATGAGATGCAGGGGACACGCACCTTGGACTTCAGGATTGGACGGCAATAGCAGTTGTTGTAGAACGTTGAAAAAGACAGCTGGATGATCAAACTAGGGTCATCAGCTAGCGGACGATGGAAGAGTGCTGTAGTTAATTCGCCTACACTTGCGATGAAGCTTCGTATATAAAGACGATGAGGATTGAGTTCCTTGTGGTAACGAGAGCAAAGTAAAAGGGTAAACGAGAGCCGTTTCCTGACGATGAATAGAGCAGATAGAGGTAGAAGGATGACTGGTAACGAAAGGTTGCTAGCAGAGGGGATGAATTGCTGACGACGAGAATGGGATGAAGAAGAAGAATGCGAGAGAATGTGGGATGAGAACAGGTGGAAGAGTCCGATCCTGCAAGTATAGAGAACCAGAGAGAAGGGCGTGCTTACAGAAAGAACACCTCTAGGACAAGCGACAAGAACCAGAAAGAACGACCTATAGAACGTCCAAATAAAGAAGGAGGCTATCGAGAGGTCAGAAAGATGTCACTGACATTGTAGAAGGAAGGTAGCCACAGTTCAAGAAATAGGAAAGCGAACGGGAAGAGAAGAAGAAATCATTCATTACTTGGTCGAGATCGAGGAGTGGGCAAACTGAGGCATCAATATGTAGCCTGAAGAACCACATCATGTACCTGTCCATGGCAAAAAGAGCGTCTGCACAACAACAATAGGAGTGCGAGGCAGCTATCTAGAGGAATCATACTAAGTGATGCAGGCAACAATGAATGGCAAAGATAGATTCTCCTTATGTCCATAACCAGACGGCCGAAGCCGCTAGGTCGATAGAGAGATAATAGACCTGCCCTAGTGTAAGTCATACATATACTGCAAGACACTTAGCAGTAGTACTGAGAGCGTTTTAGCAAATGCAAAGGTATATGGGGCAAAACCAACAGATCTATCTTTCTTAGAGCCCAATCTATAATGATAAGGTGACTTTGCGAGATGACGCAGGATGAGAAAGCCCCAGAATGTTCAAAAATGAGAAGACGAAAGCAAACGGCAGGGGGAATCAGAACAGAAGGAACATGCTGAACAGATGGTCTAGCGGATACAACCAGCTCTACTGCTCTGACCTGTCTTGCAGCCACTTGTACACGACAGAGAAGTCCTTGCCTCGGTACTCCTGCTCGACAGAATTGTATACCTCACGAGCAGTTTCAGCCAGGGCCAGGGGAGTGCCAGACTCCTTCGCGGCCGTGATTGCTAATCTGAGGTCCTTTTTCATCAAGCTGACTCCAAACCCGCCCTCATATCCACGCGATGCTGGAGCGGTCTCCACAACGCCTGGAACAGGATTGTTGACTTCCATTGGCCAACAGCGGCCGGTAGAGGTATTGATCATGTCTGCGAGAGATTTGGGATCCAGGCCCCAACGAATTCCAAGATTCATGGCCTCAGCTGTCGCGATGTTGTTTATAGCCAAAATGTAGTTGTTGGCAAGCTTACCCGATACGCCTGCTCCGGGAGGTCCCAGGTGCCAGGCCTTCTTTCCCATAAGCATTAGAACCGCTCTGACTCGTTCGATGAGCTGGCCTGTTTGAGACGATGCTCCAAACATAAAACATAATGTACCTGCGCGAGCACCTACTACTCCTCCTGACATTGGAGCGTCGACGAAGCGCCCTGTCCGTGTCGAGTGGACTGCATTTGCAATCTCCTTCGACGAGGCGGGGTCAATGGTTGATGTATCAATAAACAGGCGCTCTTCTTCCAGAGCGGGTAGATCACCGTGCCTCATGATTGAATGAAAGACATCCTTGACGTGTTCTGGCTCCGGTAGACTGGTTATCATGACTGTCTGTAGAGGAGGAGCTTAGTACCAGTATAACTAAGTGAGACGCATATATAGGCGTTCCAAAACATTTCAAAGACATGGAGAACCACTAGGCCAGCTTCACACCATGCAGCAGAGCACCCTTGGCGTATCAGAAAACAAGCCGTTTCTGATCTTTGGGCGGAAACGCGCCTAGTAATGA